TTTTCATTAACTGAATTATATTTATTATATTTGAATTACCATTAATATCATTGATATACATGCCTAAATCCAACTCTGAATTTAATGGCCTCTGAATATCCATACTTTTTTTATTAAATATATCGGAATTATTTTTAACAACACTATATATATTACAAATTTTATTAATAATATAAGATTTTTCAATTTTTATATGATTCTCTTTCAAATCATATAGTCATTGTAATTCACTCAAAGATTGAACACAATTCATAGCCACATGACCCATTTTCTCACACTTATAACACATTCGGTCATTGTCTTTATTATTCACATCTTTTTCACTTAAATCTGAAATAATAGAATCTTTTATATTACGCACCACTGGACTTATCAATATCGGTGGTCTCTTGGGAAAACCATCTTTAAAATTTGTTTCTTTTACCATGCAATTTTTTTTATATGACCTGTAAAACCACATCTATGACAAATTATATCATTTTTATCATTAACTTTTACACTCATATTTTCATTGATTTTTCGATCACGCGAAAAACAATTTTTCCCACTATGACCCCTTCGGCCACAAATATCACAATTTTCACTAAAATTATGATTGTTATTTCTAATTGTATCTATATCTTTAGAAATTTTCTTCAAACTTTCTCTAATTTCTTTTATATCATTTGAAATTACACATTCGTTCTCATTTTGTTTAACATTGTTAGTAACACTATTACTTTTTATAACCTTCTCAGGTTTATCAATCACAATTTCAGATATTTTCTCTTTAATTTCACTCATAAATGAATTTAAACTATCATTTATATCTTTTGACGTCATAATACTTTTACCAACAATAGGTACTTCACTAGTATTTGACTTCTCATTCCCACTGGAATTATTTATTTTTTTAATATTCAAATTACTAAGTTCAAGTAAAATCAAATTTAAACTATTTTTTAGATCTTCAGAAAAATCTAAAAATTTATCAGATGTCATAGGATTCACATCCACAACATTAGAATCATCTAACTTACTCCCTTTATTTGTAAAATATTTATTCTTAATTATCTTAATTAAATATATAATAAAAATCAATAATATTAAAGCTGTAACCATACAATTGGTCACATCCAATTTATCAAAATCGAATTAAATACTTTAACAAAATTATTCTTATAAATTTGCATTTTATTAAAATTAGGATTCCTATGATTACTAATAAGAAAATAAACTATGTTCTCATTAAAATATTGATAATAAAAATTTTATCATTAAAAATTGATAGTAACCTATAAAAGGATAATTTCAAAGAAGGGATCTGGGTTATATGGAGATTAATACATAGCCAGCAGTCAGAGAGGTTGTTATGACTCTGATTTTTTTACCCAGTAATGTCCAGGGATTATTTTATGTGAAAAATGTGCCTGTTTGAAAAATTATAAATCGATATACATCATTTCCCATGTAATATGAGCTTGTAGGCTTGATTAAAGGGAGATGTTGTAAATAAAGTTTTATTTTATTATAAATTTTGATATAATGTTAAGAATATGTCAATAAAAAGATTTTCGGATTTTGATGAAGATGAAGATGCAATATAAAAGATTCTTTTGTTCATTAAGTTATAAAATATATAATATTATAATAGCCTCTCTTTGTCACCATTTATAATAACTTCTGAAGACTCCTTAGTTCCCAATGGTGTGAGGAATATAGCCGCCGAATGCGGCGGGAATTTTTAGGGGGATGGGTGGGTGGGCATAGATTTTTGAGGGGGAGGGGGTTTGCATCCAGGTCATGTAGACGCTGCTTGGACTACATTAATTTCTCAGATAAAATAATTTATACTTTACCATGGCTCACCCAGAAACCTTAATAAAACAAAAACTCTGACTTTTAAATGCAATTATTTATGTTCAAAGTGTTAATCAACATCTTAAGCTTCAAAAATATAACTGTAAGCACCGAATATCTAAATGAGAGGTTTTGTCCGACAGAAGATATTTTTAGAGATCTGTTATCTAACTTCATGAGCATCCAGCCTCTACATCAAAAAATTTATTAGAGGCAAACCCCCCCCCCTCCTATCAAACCCTCCCCCTTTAAAAATTTCCGGCTACCACACTATTAATTACATGTTTTAATAATAATGGTATTCATATATTTTACAAATAATATATTAAATTATCAATATTCTACTAAAAATTAGAATAATTGTGAATGTTAAAGTATTATTTATTAGAATATTAATTTAATTAATTCTTCTCCTTTACGATTAATATATTATTATAGTGTATTTCCAATCATGGATTTGAGTTTCTGATAAAATTTCTACTCCTTTTTAAATTACATTTAAAAATATAGAGGAAAATGATCCAGAAATATGTTTTTTATAAAATTATTTAATGATTATCTATAATTGTATTGTGGACATGAAACGAAACTTTGAATAAATTTAAGGAACGGAACCAGAACATATATTCTGGAACTTCCCTGAACGGTGCCGGAACTTTCCTGAAATTATATATAAATTTCTTATTTATTTCTAAATTTAAAAAATCATCTAACGGGTGGATATATTAAATTCTTTTAATTCACTAAATCCTTACAAATGTTATACTCTAAAAAAAATTCTCCGATGAAGATTAAAAAATAGTAGTGGAAAAAGAGTAATCTAATTAGAGGTGCTAAAAGTAGTAGGCTTAATCTTCCAAAAAGTGAGCATTCTTCCAGATTACTTTATAGGTCATGGACCAAATGTAAAATAAGGCTTCAAAAGCTTGATTTCAGCTTTCTACAAGAGGAAAAAAATGCTAATGAATTAATTGTTCTGCCTTATATTTAGATCCCAGGTATAATAATATTTTGAACAAAGAGGAAAATTTGCTATAAATCATTTATTAACGACATGGAAACATTAAAAATTATAAGGAATAAGATTTAAATATAATAAGTAATTTGAATAAATCTTCTGAAGAAGGACAAGAATATGATAAATTAGAAATATTTTTAAGACCCAAGGATAAAATTATAAACAGAAAAATTTACAAAAAGGATGATATTCTATCAACTATAAAAAAAATTCAAGCGGTCTTGATAAATCTAAAATTTGCTAGAATACTTGGAATCCAATAAAATAAAAAAATTCTATCCTGGATGACTTAGACTAAATTGTATTAGCAACTACATATAGCAAGGTAAATGTTGAAAGTTGTTTTTCAACACTCAAATTTTGACGGGTAAATTCTCTCTTTATTTCAATAGTTGCTGATATAATATGTTATCAAAAGTTTATAGCAAATAATAAAATTTTTTATATGGTAAAATTCAGGGATTCGAACCGAACCCGAACCCGGAGAAGTGAACCCGGGTTTTTAGAAAAAAACTCTGAACCCGAACCGAACCTGAACCCCATTTATAAAATTTCCAAAACCCCGAACCGAACCCAAGAATTTTATTTGAACCCGGGTTCAATCGGGTTCAGATTATTTAAAATCATATATTAATATATGTAAATACAAATATTATATTTTCAAATTTCCAATTAAATGAAGTCTTAATAAATTTTAAACAACTTAATTCATTTATGCCATTTTTAAATTTATTCTCGATTCCTATTGGAGTGTTAAAAAATTTTAAACAATTGAATTAATTTACGCCATTTATTTTTAAATTTTTATCTTATTATTCTTAAAGATTATTAATTAGAAGAAAATGGTTAACAAATCAAAGTAAAAATTATTATATTGTTAATTTAAAAAATTCTAAACATCTAACTTAAAAATTGTTAAATGTAGGGCAGTTTTTGTGAACTTATTAAAATGATTTTAAAATTTATATATGCTAATCATTTATTTTTGGTTCAGTTTAATTTTTACAAGATATTAATGAAGTGCATATTATAAATGAAATTAAATTTATAAATATCTCTTTTTTAATTCTGAAATCATTGCTATTTAAAAAAATTGTTCTCTTTTTATAGATTTAAGATTAAAGATAAAGTCATATTTGATAAGCATTTTACCCTTAATACAATAGAAAAAAAATCAATATGTTCATATTGCAAAGTAAAAATGTCTGGTAATCACTTGTCAAATTTAGAAAGACACCTGGAAAGAAATCACAACAATGAATATTTAAATTATTTAAATGAAAAAACCAAATATCAGGAATTGTTAATGGCAAAAAAACCTAAAATTAATATAGAAACCTTTTTTCCAAAAAAGCATATAAGTATAAATATATCATCTAATGATTTGATGAGTTCTATACTAGAACTTGTTACTGTAAATGGCCGGCCTTTATCAATTATTGAAGATTCGGGATTTCAAAGAATTATAAATCCACTCCTATCTGGGCTCAATTTAGTTATAAACAAAGAAAATTTATCCAGAACTATTAATAAAACAGCCCAATCAATTAGAGACAAAATATCGAGAGAGGTAGAAGGAAAATTAATAAGTTTAAAAGTTGATGCAGTTCAACGACTAGATAGGTCAATTCTTGGTGTAAATATTCAATTTATATCAAAGTCCATTATAAATTTGAGGACTCTTGGAATTGTAGAGCTGAAGGAGAGATGTACAGGAGAATATATAAAAGAGAATATATTAAAAACTTTACTAAAATTTAAAATTAATATTCAACAAATATACACAATTACTTCTGATAATGGTTGTAATTTTTTAAGAGCTATAAAGCTCCTGCAATCTGAAACTGATTATGATATAAGGAGTGAATCAGCAGATGAGGAAAATATGGATGTAAATGTATATAAATATGATATTGATGATATACAAAATACTTTTTTATCAACTATTATATCCTATCCGATTTATAGTGTACGGTGTGCAGCTCACACACTTCAGCTGGCACTTCAAGATGCTATAAAATTATCACCTATTGTGGAAACCATTGCAAAAGCTAGGAGCCTAAATTTAAAATTAAGACATCCCACTTACCAAAAGTTATTAAAAAATATGAAACTCCCTAAGCCTGTGTTAGATTGGCACAGATGGCATTCAACCCATGATATGTTAGAAAGGCTGATTTTACTAAAACCCAATATCGAAGATTTTTTTACAGAGCAATCTGATTATTTATTGACTGAAGATTGGAAAGAGATAATAACGATTGTTGAAATTTTAAAACCGCTAAAAATCGCAACCAAACAATTCCAATCTGAACAGTTAACACTGACAGATTTTTATGCAGCATGGTTAAGATGCTGCATCGAACTGGAAAAAAATCCAAACCATTTTGCTCAATTACTATATTCTTGTCTTAAGAACAGAGAAGAAAGGTTTATAAAGAACGAAATTCTCTTAGCTGCCATATACCTGGACCCAAGATACAAGGTTAATTAAAAGCTTAGTAAATTAATTATTTTAGATTTATATTAAAATTGTTATTTTATGAAATATTTAAATATAAACAATATAAATCCTTAAATATTACAGGTATTACTTAGTGATGATGATAAGATTTGTGCGAAAAAACATCTTGTCAATTTATGGAGACGAATTAAAAGCTTAACAACGCCGATTTTATCTGATGATATTAGTTCCGATGAAGTTATTGAACAAGAAGATGATTTAGAGAAATTGATACAACTTAAAGAAAGGCAGGAGAAAATATTTAAAAGAGGGCCAACGATTGCTGAGAAAAGTATTGGAACAATAATTACTGGATTTAGCGATTATAAAAGATTAGATAAGAAGGAAAATATTTTGCATTTTTGGGAGTCTGCTAAGCTGGAACACCCTGAATTATATATTTTATCTAAAATCTTATTTGCTGTTCCTGCAACCCAAGTTAATTTTCATATTTTCACATATAAATACATTTAACATAGGTTAGCGTTGAAAGATCTTTTTCACATTTGAAATTCATTCTTTCACCACATAGATCGAGGATGAGTGAACAACTCTTGGAAGATATTATGCTAATACGTCTAAATAAAATTTTTAAAATTGATACATGACTATAGCTTTGTATTTTTAACTATATTTGCCTATAAATAAAATAAAAAATTTATTTTTTATATCAAATTTATGTCTAGTTTTTTATTATGATTTAAATATAGAATTTTTTTTATCAACTCAAAAATTCTTGAACCCGAACCGAACCCGAACCAAACCCGGGTTCAAAAATATTTCCCTGAACCGAACCCGAACCGAACCCACCTTTTTTTTTATACCCCGAACCGAACCCGAACCGAACCCTGGCAAAAATTTTGTCGGGTTCGCATCCCTGGTAAAATTAATAAAGGTAAAAAAAATATAAAAATATAATTTGCGAAAGAGGGTAAGGGATAAAAGAATGGAAACTAGGAAAGAGAAGGGAGAGAGAGAGCATAGACATAGGAGATTATTCAATGGAAGAGATGAAACTTAGGTAGTTAGAGCGAATGAAACTTAGGTAGTTAGAGCGAATGATGGCGGTAAATTTATACCAACACCTCAAGGAACCATTATAATTGAAAATCTTTTATAAAATATAAAATTGCCTCGATGTAATAATTGATTCATTTAATGATTAAATAAAGATTAATTATAATGTGTAGATTTAAAAATATATTTAGATATTTTTATAGGAACGTTCCGGAAAGTTCCGAAATGGAACCGAACGGTAAAAGAACAATTTTTGGAACTGGAACGGAACGGGAACACAAAAATGCCCTTGTTCCAGGTCCCTTACAATATATCTAATTCGTCGATGTTTGGCATTCTAAATATCTATATTAAATATATCTATATTAAATATGTCTATAACGAAGGTATTATATAAATTTTTACAGCAATATATTTTGCACTATTTTATCTAAATATTTTATTCTTACTCTTAAATAAATTTAGTTTAAACCCCTTAGACTTATCCTTAAATATCTTTCCTCTACCCATTAAAAAATTGAAAACAAACTGCTCCTGTCTCCCCACTTTAGATGATGTGAGCATCCATTCCTCCTTTGGATGGACCCACATCTTCTTCTTTTTTTAACACATATTTTTTTAAATACCTTTTTTATCCCCTCTTTTAGAATTTTTTTTAGACATTCCTTTTTTGGAAATGTGTTTTTATATATACACCCATAATTCTTATAATTAAAATTATACATGTTATATATAGATTAGATTTATTTTAGTTTTGTTACGGTGTGATTTAAATTTTTAGTTTTGTTTATATTTTATCACTTAAGTTAAATTTACATTTTTTATTATTCTATCACTTAAGTTAAATTTAATTTTAAACGAAGAACATTTTATTTTCGTTTTGCCTAACTTAATGATTGATCATGATTTTATTATTATGTATTTTATCGATCAATAAAATAGATATATATAGCAAACATTTTTGTAATAGGACATTCATTTTTATACATTCTTTTTTTGATTTCGCCAACGAACACTTTGATGATGTGAAATATTATGCTAAATTATATGTATCATACTGTGATGTTCTTCTTTGTACTTACTATTAATCTCATGTTCTGTTTATATGTTAATGAATAAATATACAGAAAACAGTCTCGGAATCTTATTATTTTTAGCTATACAATATATATTTTTTTTATGTTATTTTTATCCGAGATAAAAACATGTATATTATAAATATTTTTAAATTGAAATCGTTTTTAAATATAACACTCGAATATAATTATCATATATATACTATCCTTGATAAAATAATTATTATTGATGATTTATTTTAAATTAGAGTGCCACCTAATTTATTTTAAATTCAAAATGTTAATATACTATTTTATAGAGCTGCTTAATTTAAATATGATAGACTTAATAGGGTGCACATATATTCGATTCTTTAGTTTAGTGTTGTTAAACGACTGAGTCGAGTCGACTTAGTCGAAAACTGAGTCTAAGTTTTGGGTCGAAAAAAGCGACCCAAACTGACTTGAGTTATAAACTCGAGTCGTGAACTCAAGTCGACTAAAGTCGTGCAAGTCATAAACTCGAGTCGTGATTTCAAATTAGTTTTTTTTATTATTAATTAACAATACAATTATTTTTTTTAATTTAGACTTCCAACTTGAGTCGGTCGTGAATAATTACACAAGCATTAATTATTATTTATTTATTTTTAGTAAAATAATTTATTTTATTTATATTTAAAAAGAAATGATATAATTTAATATTTTTTATTTTATATTATATTATGAAAATAATGATGAGTATTTATTTGATATCTCTCTTTTAATAAAAAAATAGGCTCAATGTAAGTTAAGTAATATCATTTTTGTTACAATTAATTAGTGATTTTCACGCCCAAATTTTAAGCAAAATTTGATTTGATTTGAATTTTAAATGATTTTTTCTTTTTTGTTAATTAACTTTTTTTATTAATTCTTTTGTAAATTTTATTATAAACAAACAATTTTTAAGTTGAAATCTTTTATTTATAGGGTATTTTTATCATTTTTGTAAAATTATCTATTTTTTTAGTATATAAGAACTGAACTAGTTTAAATAATTTATTTTTAAATATTTATATTAAACTTTTATAAGTTATTTAAATGATCGTCTTTGTGATAATTGTCATGTTATTTTTTAACATTTATGAAATCTTTGACAGAAAATGATAAAATATAATTTATATTATAAAGATGTTAAATTATAAATTCAATTCAATGGTGATGTTCCTTTCTAAAAATGACAATTATCATAATCTGTATTTTTAAACATATTAGTTTATTTTTGACGCTAATGGGTAAAAATATAAATTGTAAATATGTTAAATTAAAATTTCAGTGAAGATGTACCCTAGATAAGTGACAATTGACATAATCGATTTCTAAAGTTTTTTGAAATTTTTTGACGCATATAGGTAAAAATATAGATTGTAAATACGTTTAAGTAAATATTCAGTGAAGTTGTACCATAGATATGTGACAATTGCAGAGTTGTTAAACGCTATTTTTAAAAGTAGCGCGCTACCGCTATAGCTATTTGTCAAAAAAAGTAGCGCGCTATTAGCTACCTTTTTCCAAAAGTAGCTTTAGCTACTTTTAAGCTACTTTTTAGAAAAAAATGAAACAAATTTTTTTTATTTTTTTTTTTGCTTATGTAAATGTATAATAAATAATATATAAAAATCAACATTTATAAATATAAAAATATAGTTAGTTTAGATTATAAAAAAATAAGCAATCTAAATAAATATTTATTTTAATTTGTTGCATTTTAATAATAATATATATAATATCTCATGATATTTATTGCATCAAACATTAAAATTTATTTATTAAATTCCTAGAATAAAATATAATAAAAAAATGTATATAATATTAAAAGTATTTATTAATTTTGTTCTTAAAAATACCCCTCCCCCTCCTTCCTTGATTTAATATTTTTTTAAAAAAAAATTTTTTCTCTATCAATGAAAAAAATAACAATTCTATTTCTATTTTACTTTTAAATCCTTTTGCCGAAAAAAATTTCTTTATTTTTTTAATATTAATAACTTCCATTTATTACTTATTTTTTGTTTTCCCCATAATAGCATAACTATATAATTTTTAAGCTAACTCTATGAATATGGATTTTTTTTTATAAAAAATAGGGGGTAATTATTAGTTCTTTCAAAACTATCAAAAGTCGTAACAATTTCATTAAAATTATTTTATTTATTCTATGACAAATATAAAATTATTCACAAATATTATTAAAATGAATATCAAAAAAGATAACGTTGTTTAACAAATTTATATTAAGTTTTATGATTAAAATATCGTCTAAAGTATATTTGTCAAATTTATTTCGTAATATGGTTACTTCGTAGTGCACTGAAGGATCTTTCCATCGATATATGTGAGCAAAGATCAACTAGAACTACTCGCTAGAGGGATATTTTGGATAAATGTAAAAATATTTTGATGGGAAGGCAATTTTAGGCTATACATTAATTTGTAATCTCCATTATCGAATTAGAGTTAAACAACAAATAAATGTATTTCAGCTTAAAATTAAAGTTGGGCCTACTAGAGTCAACTCCTGAGGTGACTAATGTCAACTCCTGAGCCAGCATATCTAATCTGTTTGAGCCTTAGCCAATTTTTACAACTTTAGGGCAAGAATTAAATTAACATAAATTATTCTCATTTTTCGATGATATATGAATTATAAATATCTAAAAATCGATAAATTCCTATAATAAATTTTTCCCAGAAGGTAATTATTTCGAATTTCATATCAATTATTTAATTAATATGAAATTGAATTACTCGTCCTCTAATTTTTAATTTTAAATATAAGTATACAATTTTTAAAAAAAGACTATTATTGAAATATTCGTCCTCTATGCATAAAATTGAGCAAAACATTAACAATAAATTATTATAAGTTGATTTGGGTCGATGCTCGGGTCGGTGCTCGGGTCTGTGCTTGGGTCGGTGCTCTGGTCTATGGATTTGGTCGACCAGGTCGGCCAATTTGGTTGCTTTGGTTTTGGTTCATTTTTTCGACCAAAAACCCAACCAAAAATCATGCTAATTCGACCCAACCAAGCAATTTAACAACACTAGCTATATTTAATACGTTATGAAGAAATAAATATAAAAATAAGGTATATAAATATTGTATTAGCAGAAAATAATCTAGGTTGTTTAATGTTTAGCCGCAATTTAAACAAGATTGTCTGATGAAAATAGACAAAAAAGATAATTTCTATATTAGGATTATATATTATCATAGTAATTTTATATATTTATTTCTTTCCCGATGACGGGGTAATAAAATGCCAATTTGCCTCGGTTTTGGGGGATAAATCTTTTTATAGAATTCAAAATCTTAAAATAAAATTTATAGGATGTCTAGTAATTTTTACTGATATTTTAATTTAACATATTTACAGTATATATTTTTACCTATTTGCGTCAAAAAATTTCAAACAACTTTAGAAATAACGATTATGATAATCGTCACTTATCTAAGGTACATCTACACTGAAATATCAATTTAACATATTTACACAATATATTTTTACCTATTTCCGTCAAAATATTCAAAAAACTTTAAAAATGAATATTATAATCTATGGTACATCTTCACTGAGTTTTTAATTAAACGTATTTACATCTATATTTTTACCTATGTGAGTCAAAAAATATCAAAAAACTTTAGAAATAACGATTATGATAATCGTCACTTATCTAAGGTATATCTTCACTGAAATTTTAATTTAACATGTTTACAATATATATTTTATCCATTTGCTTTAAAAAATTTCAAAAAACTTTAATAACGATTATGACAATTGTCACATATCTATGGTACATCTTCACTGAATTTTAAATTAAACGTATTTACAGCCTATATTTTTACTTATTTGCGTTAAAAAATTTCAAAAAACTTTAAAAATAACGATTATGACAATTGTCACTTATCTAGGGGAAATCTTATCTGAAATTTTAATTTAACATATTTACAATCTATATTTTTACCCATTATAGCGTCAAAAATAAACTAATATGTTTTAAAATACAGATTAAGATATTTGTCATTTTTACAAAGGAACATCATCATTGAATTTATAGTTTAACATTTTTACCCTTAGTACCAAAAATTTCAAAAATGTTAAAAAATAACATGACAATTGTCACATTAAAATATTATAAATAACATAAAAATTTAATACAAATATTTATAAATTATTTAAACTAGTTCTTTTAATATACTAAAAAAAATAGATAATTTTACAAAAATGATAAAAATAAACCTATAAAAGATTTCAACTAAAAGATTAATAATTCACAAAAAAATTAATTAAAAAAGAAGATTTTAAATTCTTATCAATTCAAATTTTGCTTAAAATTTTTACATGAAAACCACAAATTAATAGTAAGAAAAATAATATTATACAATACCTATTCGAAATATTCTATTTCTTTCTTTCTTTCTATTTATAAATTATTTAAACTAGTTCTTTTAATATACTAAAAAAAATAGATAATTTTACAAAAATGATAAAAATAAACCTATAAAAGATTTCAACTAAAAGATTAATAATTCACAAAAAAATTAATTAAAAAAGAAGATTTTAAATTCTTATCAATTCAAATTTTGCTTAAAATTTTTACATAAAAACCACAAATTAATTGTAAGAAAAATAATATTATACAATACCTATTCGAAATATTCGTCCTCTAGTCGAATTAAGTTCACGACTCAAATGGAAAACTCATGTTCTCGACTCAAATCGACATGAGTGCATGACTCGAGTTGACTGGAGTTTATGACTTGAGTTCACGACTTAAGTTCACGACTTGAGTCGACTTGAGTTCACGGAGTTGACTTGAGTTCACGACTTGAGTTCTCGACTCGAGTTCACGACTTCAGTGAGTCGACTTATTCGAATCAGACTCCGAGTCAGAGTCGGGTGAACTCGACTTTTTAAAAACACTACAGTTCATGCACTTCTAGCTTGCTCATTTCATCATTCCCAAAATAAATAGAATTATGACAATAACTAAAAGTGAAATGTCACTCTAAAACATATGTATTATTTTCTAACATAAATCTTCATGTTACTTGTAAAATCTTTAAACCTAAATTAAGATACATAAATTTATTACGATGTTTCACATTAATTCCTCATATAAAAACATTTTAATTCGATTTTTATTGTCTGGAAATAATTTTACTAAGCATTGTAATAATTTTTTAATAAATAGAAGCAATTTATCATCAGATAATGTAACAAATAAAATAGTAAATTCAAAAGGAGATTATATCATGATTAATAAAGATTTTGAAATGGAAATGATGGATTCAATGGGTAAGACTCCGTTAAAAAGTTTAACTGAACGAGGATTTCAATATTTATTCTTAACTGAGATGGTATCTGGAATGTTAGTGGCGATTGGACAAATATTTAAGGAACCAGCAACAATTAATTATCCATTTGAGAAAGGGCCTTTATCACCTAGATTTAGGGGTGAGCATGCTTTGAGGCGATATCCTTCAGGAGAAGAAAGGTGTATTGCTTGTAAACTTTGTGAAGCCATATGTCCAGCTCAGGCCATTACCATAGAAGCTGAAGAAAGAGAAGATGGAAGTCGTAGAACTACACGTTATGATATTGATATGACAAAATGTATTTACTGTGGATTTTGCCAAGAGGCATGTCCTGTTGATGCAATTGTTGAAGGTCCAAATTTTGAATACAGTACTGAAACCCGTGAAGAACTTTTATATAATAAAGAAAAATTATTAGCAAATGGTGATAAATGGGAATCAGAAATTGCAGCAAATATAAAGGCAGATTATCTTTACCGATAATGTGTAGATTTTAAGTTAAATATGTAATATAATATTTTACAATCATTATTTTTTAAATTAGTTATTATTTTTTGATTTATAATTCTTAGTTCTGATGCAATAAATATAATTATTTAAAAATATTATTTTACAATTTTTTTAAAATTATTGGATTCATTTTGTGAAAAAAATTATTCAAACATATTTTGGGAAACTTTATCTAGAAAAAGAATAAAAATTCTATTCTTTTAAAACTTTTCCTTACCCCTTTTATCTGAGATCTGACAGTTCTATATATTGATGTGATTTTTTTTTATGATAAAAACTTATGTAGGATATATTTTTCAGTCTTTATTATTAACTGATTAATTCTACGTAAAATGAATTAGCAATTATAATTAACTAACATCAAAGAATGAAATTTAAATCAGACATTTCTCAAATATTTTATGGATCAGAAACTATTTTTTTTTATGAGGTATCAATCAGAAATTTACCCTTTATTTGATAAGTTTTTCTCAAAATTTCAGTTTTAATTTTGAGGAATTAAATAAGAGCCTCTCAAAATTTGTTAAATTAATTATTAGTTTATTTTATTAAATCAAATTATATTTTAAAATATTCAACTTTTAAAATAAATTCTCTATTTTAAAATAAATTCTCATTTAGTTGCCATTTTAAAATATTTATCTTTGTACCAAACTGAATAATCTTCCAACTGGTGCTTATAAAGGCATCACAGTATTATATTTAAAAAAAATCCTTATTGGTATGATAATAACATTCAGCTATCTTATTTGTGTTATTAAACTCAGCAGCATTTGCTTAAAAGAAAAATAATGATCAATTGTTTAATTATGTACTAATAGGGCTACTTTTAAAAATATTTTTCCAAGGTATTTTTTGTCATATGACTTGATTTATAAATTCTTAAAGTATGAATGTGATAATTAAAAAGATATCATTATACATCACAAGGAAAAATCTTTTTCCTATACCATCTTAAAAACCTTTTAATAAAGGTAGACAATATTTCCAACCATAAACTTATCCCAGATTTTCTTAAGGTTATTGGGGGGGGGGGGGCATTTTTTAGTGAGATTTTTCCTGTAAATTGTTTCTCACCATAGTATATTTTCATAAAAATAATTTTGGGGTTTCATTTTATAAAAAATTCTATTTTCAAAAAAATATAAATTATAGTTATTTAAAAAATTAAACTACTAATTTTCTTTCAAATTCTTCTTTATAGTTGATATATTTTGAGAGGATAGGGGAGAAATTTTTATTAGCTTAAAATGAAATTTATGAGAATAGGCAAATTTGTGATAGAGGGGAGGTGATTTGTGCCAGTTTTGACTTTAATTTTCAAGTTAATTAAATGATATGTATATGAATTCTTCATAAAAAAAACTTATCTATCCTTGTAATTTTTCCAATACATTTACTATGAAACCTTCAACTGATTGCCTGCCTTATCTTCTGAAAATTTGGACCATTCATATGCATTTTATAGCTTTGTACATTTCCCATAACTACATAGTGAATCCTTCCAAGGGACTTTGAGTTTGGGATTGATTACAATACTATTTAAGTAGAAGCTAGGATAAAGAGTGCCATAACAGGCCAGCCATTATTATTTTTTTCTACTAAAATAATTTTAAAATATTTTCTGCCTAAAATTTTAAGATTTGATCTAGATGAACTTATTTACATAGTTTCTTATTCATTATCATGAGTGCTAATCATCCTATGAATTAAAAAATATTATATAATAGTGGTATTCTATTCAGCAAAGTTGTTAAAGTATCTAGATACAAAAATATGATATCTGTATCTAAATTAGCAATTTAAAATTCACGGGAATTTAAGTCTTGGGAAAATTACCAGGAAAAATAGCAAATGAGAAATCAGGCAGGAAAATAAGGAAGAATGAGAAGTTAAAAGAAAATATTTTATTTATATATATCAGAGACCTGCAGCTCCGGCCCTAAGCCAGGGTTTAGGAGGCTGGGCCGTATTTTAATTTTTTAAAATATACCCGGGCCAAGCCACCTTAAATTTTTTTTGTAAAAAAATCCGGGCCGGGCCTGAAATTTTTTTATTTAAAAAAAGCGAAGCCAGGCCTTCTTAAAGTATAAAACTCTTGCCGGGCCTTAAAAAATTTTTGAAAATCCAGGCCGAAAATTTTTTAAATAAAAAATCCTAGCTGGGCCGGCAGGTCTCTGATATATAAAATGCAATTGATATGAACATTGAACAATATAAGTCCAAATAGAAATGAAGTTATATTATTAAAATAGTTTAAAAATTATCCCCAGAATCAGAAATACATTCAATACTAAACATATTTATCTCTTCATTGGTTACTCCCATTTAATTGAAATCTGGAATGTTTATAACGATTTGAAACCAATTCTCTCACCTCTTACATGGGTAGTTAATTTCTTAACTTTGATTGTGTTTTTCCAAAAGCAGACTTTTCTAAGTCTGCACTGGATGAAGAGATTGAGAATAATTTTGCAGCTAATATACAGATTATTGGATTTGTACACACCCCATTCCACCATAATAGCCAAATATTTGCAATACCTTTTCATAAAGCACAAAATTACCAAAAACCTTATTTGCACCAAAATTCAGCTAAATTTGCCATTGTTGTTTCTAAATACATTTAGATGTAAAGATTGCTTAAACCATGCAGAATGGAAAAGGCTTGAAAGATTTTGCCAAGATAACTTGGATCCAAATGATTTGCTGTGAAATTTTTTCAGTTTGTTTAAATGTTGAATATTATCAGGGAAAAAGTATACTCTTTATTTTAATATTTAATCCGCTTGGTAAACAGAATAAATATAAATAAAATATGAAATTAATAAAATTTATACCAAGATTCAAGATAGAACGAAGATTCTAGAGGTACCAAAGCAATTGTAATAAAATATATAACTTTACTATTATCAGCATTATAAAAAATTAATTTTTTATCATCTTTCAAAATATGAGACTGTCTCTGGATCCTTGATGTTTTTATAATTTAATACGATGGCATAAAACAATAATCAAACAGACTTGTGGTATCTTTGGAAAATGTGATACCAAAATAAGATAGTGGTTACGTTAAAATTGAAGCGGTATTAATAGCTTATTTTTCACCTTCAAGTGCTAAAGTTGAACGATTATTTAGTAACGTAATATTAATACTGCGCTTTTACAATTGTAAATAGAAAAGTCAAACGTTTATCCCATATAAATTATAGCGTCTTTAGAAAGTTTCCCATTTTTTAAATTATTGTTTTAAAAATTATATTATACATTTTTTTAAAATAAAAATTCCTAAATTTCTATAGAATTAAATAATTTAGGAGGGGATTTTATCAAATTTAAAAAAAAGGAAAGCAAATTTTCCTCTAAAATAAATTATTACCTAATCATATTTTCTATGGATAGCTCCACTCCACTACAACTTTCTATGAGATTAGTTTAATATTATAATAATTTACTACATTATATTTCTTTATTATATTAAAATATTTTAAAATAAAAAAAATTATTTGACAATTATGAATGATAAGCTCTTACCTAGTTGATATTTACAATATGGATAAAAGACAACAAAAATTAATGACTTTATATAAATGTGATTAACTAATATTATATTTCTTTTTTCCAATAATTGTTAATATTATAACTTATTTTGTAATTTTATAATCATTTTTAACTTTATGGTAAGCTTTTCTATTAATCGAATAGTTAATTAATTAATAAATTTATTATCAATATAAGATATAATAATTTAAATTTTCATTATAATAAATTTTAATATATTTAAAAATGTTTGAAAAATATATAATAATACTATTAAAAAAAAAGAACGGAGATGGTGTGACGCAGGTAAACAAAAATGAAAAAGGGACGTAAGCGTTGTCTATGATAGCTCTTTGGCTAGAAGGCTACCATTGAAACTGACATAATTAGCTTTGTGAATCGCTGTGGATAATCATTGACGAAGAAAAAAACCCTCTCGAGGTTCTTCTGAGAGTTTGCTGATTTGTGATCCTAAGTTTTTGAAAAATGCTAAGGCGAGTTTGCTGAAGGTGCCAAGAGTGGTTGATATGATTGGGATGAAGCAATGATCGTTTATTATTTCTGTGTATTTAGAAATTTTAAACTGATAATTTAACATTATATTTTACAATGGATTTTTATTAGGATTAACAACAATTCAAATATCAACAAAAAATTGTGCGGAAAAGGAAAGCAAGGTATGTATGCTGGCAGAGGATTATATAATTTTCTAATTTTATTAAATAACGCCGAGTAAAATTAATTATCTTTATCCTTGATAGAATTGTAGTGGGATCTCTTGAAAATATTGTGATTTTATATGTAAAAATATAATAAAATAACTCCACAAAGTGTTAATACGCCCCCCGTGATTTTTTAAATATTTAAATTTTAAGTCTTTTAAGATATTATAGAATATAATGATATATTTATTAAAATGCAATAAAACCCCTTTTTTATTATATGTATTAACTCTAAATCCACTATTACTGTGTCCTTTCTTACCTTCAATGATAATCCTAAACTTTTCTGCTTATAATTCAGTTAAAAATAAAATATAGGGAAATTACACTTGATAAAAATTTAATAAATAAAGTAACGAAATTTCGGAAAATAGACCTCTCTTTAATTATTATTTTTACATAGTTAAGCTCCCTTTAGGATTAGACGATTCTATTTTTCTAAATAGATTTAAAAAATATATCCGTAATATGCTTATGTTGTATAACTTGTATTTGCATAAAAATTACAGTTAAATTAAGAGCTTCCAATAACTCTCGTAACTTAAGCCTGGTCCACTTCTTTAGTTGGGTCAAAAGGCTTAAAGGTAATAATTTTATCTCTTACCTTTCTTTTAACTAGGGCTGTGCCGATATTAAATATCGGATCGGATCGGTCCTGATATTTGGCGTTTTTCAAAAATATCGGATCGGCCCGATACCTGTAAAAACCCGATCCGATCCGATCCTTTTACTAAAAATGCAATTCTTATAAAACTTTTGAGTAATGAAACTTTGAATTATTATTTTTTAATAAAAAAAAATTTTTTTAAATATTTTAAAAAAAAATAAATTTTTTCGAGTTTCTATTTTACATTAATAATATTTTATAAATAATTTTTTTTTAAACAATGCAAATGTTATTTATTTTTTTAAATAGATTTTACAAGTTTTTTTATAAAAATAGAAAGGAACACCCAAAGTTTTATTTATTTTTAATTTTTTAAAAAAATAACACCAATTTTATTATTTATACTTTAAATAAAAATTATTTTAAATATGGTTTCTGAATTATGGAAATATTTTGATAAAGATGAAGGTAATTTTGCAAAATGCGTCATCTGCTAATTTCACGGGGAGGAATACTGAAAAATTCGTTCAATACAACTAACATTAAGAAACATCTGAAGCGTTGCCATCAAAAGGAATTCGAAGAGCTATCACAAAAAGAACGAGAAATATTAGAAAAAACAAATCAAATTTTTTAAAAAAAGAGCCCTGAAAGTCAGCCAACAATATCAGCCATTCTTAATAAAACTAATATTTGGAAACATTCTGATCCTAAATCAATAATAATTTCTAAATTTATAGGGGAAATGATAGCGTGTGACCATCAGCCGATTTCTATCTTGGAGGATATAGGCTTTAAAAGGCTTTTACATCATTTATGTCCAAATTACAAAATTCCCAATAGAAAATATTTTTCGCAAGGAGTTATTCCGGATATATATGAAAAACTCTCCGAAAAAATTCGTAAAGAAATTTTGGTTGACGATTCTTTTTTATCCTTTACGGTAGATATATGGACTATAAATTCAGGTGGCGATTCTCACATCTCATTAACATGCCACTATATAAACCAAAATTTTCAACAAATTAATAGAGTTCTAAATGTTAAAACATTTAATGAGTCGCATACAGCAATAAATATTGCTCAAATTTTAGAAGAAATTATTAATTATTGGGGTATAAAGAAAAATAAAATACACCTAATCATTAGAGATAATGCACCCAATATAACTTTGGCCATGAAAAATGGGAAATTTCAAAGCGTTTCTTGTTTTGCACATAGTTTGCAATTGGTTGCACAGGCAGCAATTTTATCACAGAGATCTATTATTGACATGCTTGCCCGGGTTAGAAAAATAGTAGGACACTTTAAACATTCTTCTATTGCACAAAATTGTCTAAAAGAAATCCAAATTCGATTAAGTCTAGCCCAGCACAAATTAATCCAGGATGTGCCCACCCGTTGGGATTCTACCTATTATATGCTCGAAAGATTGATAGAACAAAAAAGGGCGGTACAGCTGTTCATTATCGATAATCCTAATTTGGGAAATCTCTCATTATATGAGTGGGAATTAGCAGAAAGGGTAATTGATGTTCTTGAACCAATTCAGAGAGTAACAAAAGAAATAAGTACGGAATCATGTTCAATTAGCAATGTTATACCCTTTGTTGAAATTCTGAAAAGTGAATTAACAATTAATGGGGACACAGATAGAGGTGTGCAGACTATGAAGAATACCACTAATAATCAATTAACAACTCGGTTTTTTTATATTTATGATGATGACAATTATGTTGTCCCAACATTACTTGATCCTCGATATAAGGATTTCTTTTTGCCAAAAAACATATCATACATAGAAAAGCTCAGGACTGCATGTGAGTCTTTTTTTAAAGGTGATGATAATGTTCAACTTCCAATTTCTAATAAAGATTCGCCAGGTTTTATATTTTTTAAAATAAATTTAGATTTTATTGTTAACTTAGGTAATGACAATGAGAAAAATGTTCCACATAACATTAAAAAATGCAAATTTAATTTAAGGGTTGCTTATAAATTGAAAATCAAAGAAAAACTAGTAATAAATGAAATCGATAGTAATGTAAATGATGACCTGCCATACCTAATAGAAATCAAGGAATATTTAAAAGAATCTTTATATATAGAAAGTATGACAATATATTATATTAATTTAAATATTGCTTGGTTGGGCTATGATTGACCCATTTGTTTGGGTGATTTTTCAAAATCAACAAAAGATTGGGTTTGTATGAAACCCACTATTTTATAAATGTTAATTTTATATTTGTGTTATTTATTTAGAAAACTCGAATAACATTGATGATATTAATATTATATCCCCAGTGAATCCACTTGAATATTGGAGAGTTAATGCTGTAAAATTTCCAACTTTATCAACACTTGCACGTAAATTTTTGGCTCCTCCAGCAACAAGTGTCCCATCTGAGTCTGCCTTCAGTACGGCAGGGGATATTGATAGTCCTCATCGTAGAAGCCTATTGCCTGAAAATCTAGAGGCTCTTATATTTATTAAAAAAAATCTAATATATTATAATTTTATATATTAAATATTACAATTTTATAAACCAACATAAAATGGATATATTATTATATATTTTTTTTAAAATTATTGTTGAAATAAAAAAATTAAATTATGCATAATTCTTTTATGCATAAAAAATATTGATTTATTAATTACATTTGGTTCAAAGAGGGGTGGTAAAAAATTAATATAAATATCGGATCGGTTTTGAACCAATATCGGAAAATATCGGATCGGATCGGTAAAAAATATGTGGATCGGCACAGCCCTACTTTTAACATTAAAAGCGCTTTAACAGCGTTAAAAAAATCGACCAGCTTTTATAATTCAATTCAATGTAAACTTATTTTATAACTATTTTGAGTTAGTATATAATAAATTATAGATAAATCATAGGATATGTAATTATGAAGCTTATAAAACCTTAAATTTTTTAGAATTTCAAATAATCGAATAATTAACAGCGTTAAAAAAATCAACCAGCTTTTATAATTCAATTTAATATAAACTTATTTTATAACTATTTTGAGTTAGTATATAAATTATAGATAAATCATAGGATATATAATTACGAAGCTCTTAATTTTTTTAGAATTTCTAATAATCGAATAATTTCCAATTTAATATAGATTTTATTCAATTTTTTTGTATATCCTTGTGCAAGTTATATTTCCGGCCTTCAAGGTCTAAAAATAAATTCTAGTTATAATAAGATTTCATAATTACCATATCCATTTCATCTCCGTGGAATTCTCGTAAGATAGAAGAATCTTTTCCACCTTCAGAAGATTTTTGATTATGAATTAACTTTTCACCATCGCGTGTTATAATTGACTGTATTAAAAATACATAATATAAATTAAAGCATCTGTTATTAGAAAAAATAATTTGCATAAGTTTTTATCCATCAATAAAATGCATATAAAAGTTAGGCCTCAAAAAGTGACCACATCATAATCAAGTTATAGTTGGTTCCCAACTATTTAAGTTAAGTTTTTGTTTTTTTTAAATCAATAATAATCATTTTAACCTTACATTTGGTACCATCTGCTCTGTCTTCTTCAAATTCTTGCCCCAATTTAAATTTAATTGTAGTGCTTTTAAATAACATATCCGTTTTGATCGTCCATTCATCGCCATTAACTTCAATTGTGGTGACTGGTTTAGCTGCATCCGCCATTTTTCGTGTTAACAATCCAACGCCTAATAATATATAAACGTTCAAACGAATCTTTTTATTCATTTTATAACCTAATTCTTGCATATACTCATCAAAGTTTTTGCTAGAAATTAATTGATATTTCCCAGTAATTCCGGCCATTTTTTATAGGAATAATTTTCTTATGAAACTTGAACCTATAATAATAAACTAATAAAATGATATGATTTAAAATTTGAATAAAATAATATGAAAAATAATTTTATTTACATAAGCAATTACTATTAAAAAATAATATTTTTATATTACCAAAAGTTAATAATAATAATAAAAAAAAATAAAATGCTGGCATTCTTAGCTATATGAAAAAGAGAATTGTAAAAAAAACGCGTGATAAAATATGTTTTAAAAACTCGGATATGCAAATTAAAAAAATTTTATTTCGAGGGAATTATTTCTCTAAATGAAGGATGAATTTGACACAATCATGTTTAATTAAATATTTGATTTAAATTTTTAAGTTATGAAATATAAAATATTTTCATTTTCGCTATGATCTTAAATCAAGATAATTCTAAGTTTAAACTAGTTCAACTTTTTATGCTAATCAAAGAAAAATATTTTTCTTAAATTTATTTATGTATAGATAGTTTTATGACAGATAAAAAGAATAAAAAAATTTCGAATGTTTATAATTAAAATAATCTTATTTTAAAAGGAATTACTTATAATATGTTCGAAATGTAGCGAAATATTTATGAGAAATCATATTCATTTTAGTTGTATTTTTTTTATTGAGAAATTAATAAGGTTTGAGATTTTAAAAAGTATAAAATTCCCTATATTATCAAAAAATATATAAGGGAATATTTTCATCTATATTGTATTTTATAAGCTTCATTTTAACTTTTTAAATTTATATTCAAAGGATTCATTCTAAATTTATTGTTTATTAATACATAGAAGACTACAGGGTAAAGAGAGACAGGGTAACAATGTTAACTAACATAAATAATTTTTAGCCATTGAATATAAAAACCTTAAAATTAGGGTGAAGATGTATTTATATAAATAGTTTCTTACCTATGTTCATGTTTGGCGATTTGATATATTTTGTCAAATAACCGTTTTTTACACTTAAATGATAAAAATCACTTTCTAGTATTTTTTGCTTTTAGCAAAATATATTTATCCTAATGATCTGAAATTTTGTGCACATATGTTTAGTTATAAAATAAAAGTTATTGGACGTTTGTAACTTTGCCAGAAGTCATATAATAACGATTTATATAATAAATCTCATCTTGGTGTAAAGCAGAAATGGGTAAAACGGTTAAAATGTTTTATCTGATTAAAACTATAAAAAAATGAATGTATAAATACTAACATCAACACCATATAAGAAAATATTTTTGAGCAAGAGAAACATTAATAAGTAGATTATCACCCCTTAAAAATATTGATCACTTTTTAGATATCACCTTTGTGAAAATTTTAGTTAGAATTACTTTTTTGGAAGGCTAATTTTAGATATCTTCATTTCTTGCTCATTTTAGATAGAATTATCTATTTATTGCTAGTGTTTAAAAAAATTTGAGTATGAGCCTCTTCATTTTGAAAAACTAGTAATGCAAGTGAAACAGGTTAAATAATATAAATTTTAGAGCTTATCTACACATAATCCACGACAATATATCCTGTTAAATTGAGAATGATGTTAACTATAAGGAAATTATATATACTGAAAGATATGTTCCGAAATTGTTAAAAACTAAAAAAAACACAGAAATAGTGTTAAATAAGGGAATTTCAAAACTATGGAAAATATGCAATGAATTATGATTGACTTAATCTAAAATAAAAATTACGTCCAATGATGACTTCTTATAAAATAAAAGTTTGGAATCAAGTGAAAGAACCAATAACTTATGAAAATAGAGCACTGACTTTGAAGATTTCATTAATAAAAATTTTGATTGGTTCATTGCAATCAGGAATTTCTCCCCCTTAAATTAATGACGATTTATTCACTCCTGTCCTATTTGCCCCCATTCCCCTTTCTACCAAATCAAAAATAGCAAAAAAATGGAAATCAAAATTAGCAAAAAAAAGGAAATTCAAATTAAACTACCTTCTACCCCCTCAAACCAATTACCCACCACACACGAACTCCCCTCACATACTCTCCTTTTCCATGTCACAGAGAATTTGAGTCATACCTACCCCTTCCGTGGTGGAAGTTTCGGATTGGAATAATAACAACCTTGCCGCTTCTGTCAGCGATTATTACAAAATATAACCATTTTATAATGTTAGGTAGTGTCAACAAATCTTATATTTATATTAGTTCACCAAATATGTATTTTCCCCTATAATTAATATATGGAAGGTGGTGATTTACTTATGTTTTGGATGAATATTTATGCATCTACCTAATTTAGTAGTCATAGCTTTGTGGGGAGCACAAATTCAATTAATATTAAGTTAACCCAAGCCATCGTATATAGAAGACTAGTCCTAGTCCACATCAAGTTTGTACCATATTTAATTAAGATAAATCAAACAATTTATGTTCAAATTGGACAAACACGTTATATTTTTTCTAAAAAATTTTTAATTCGGCTTACCTTTTTTTCTATTTTGTTTTTTATATTTCCGTATGTGCAAAGATTCACCCGCCGATACTACTTTTTTTGCCGATATAGATACCCTGATATTAATCTGATATCGATTCTTATATAAAAACAATTATCTAACATACACATCCATTACATGGTAATAGGTTAGAAGTGTCCTGAACAAAAACACCACGGACCAAAATATCCCCTGACAAAATGACATCAAATAAAAACAAAATACCCTCCAAAAAAAATACTAGACAAAAATACTAAAGTTTAAAAATTTTTTAAATTTTAAAAAGGGGGAAGCAAACCCCTCTCAAAACCCTATACCTACCAAGATAAGCAGCCAATAAGTTTCTTTTAGTTACAATTACAGTTCAAAGACCTGATCCTGAGATAGTGAACAGCGTTAGCGGTTAGCTTAGACCCATGCAACAAAGATATGGGATAATATTTATATTAGATGAGGAAAATTACTAGAGTTGTTAGAAGTTACTTACTAGTTACATTCACAAGTTATATTTCAAAAATAACTAGTTACATTATAAGTTACTTTATAAATCATTTATATAACGTATCATTTTGTTATTTAATATAAAAAAAATTACGATTTACAAATCTTAATTAATGGTATTTAAAAGAGAATATACAATTTATATAAAAATATAATTACACAAAAAAATCCAGAAAATAGAATATATTTACACCGATATAAAACCGTATATCAGGTCAATTCAGCGAAACATTTATCGCGAATGTCATTTATCGCTCAGGAATTTTATAACAAAGGAAATATCGAACCAATTCCGCGAATTTTTTCAGCGAAATTAGCTAAGACAATATCGCGAACCTTATCGCGAACCTTATCGCGAATTTACTTTTGTGAAATCTTAAACGCGAATACTTTAGAGCTAATACAATTTAGAGAATCTTTTATCACGAACCCGTTATAGAGGAACTTTTATCGCGAACCTTTTATTGCGAATTTTCTACCATGAATGTGTTTGCACGATGTCGTTATCGCGAGCGTATTACCGCGAAACAATAAATATAGAATATATTTATTTAAAGGAAAACAACATGTTTAATATTAATTTACCCACAAAAGTTCTTTAAATCATAAACGCGAAATGTTTTATGGATCTTTTGTTATTTATTGTATATTAAGCAGAGACCTGCAGAGGTACCATTTGCACGGCCCGGCCCGGTTTTAAATTTTTTAGGCCCGGCCCGGTCCGGATATTTAAAAAAAAATTTTTTAAGGCCCGGCCCGGATTTAAAAATTTAAGGCCCGGCCCGGATATTTTTTAAAAAAAAATTTCAAGCCCGGCTCGGAATTTAAAATTATATTCGACCTGGTTGGTATATACAAAAATTCACCTATGAGGTATTTTACCATATTTTTCAGCGAGTATTATCGCTTATTATTTAAAAAATACATGTAAAAAGCTAATATTTTGAGAATATTATATTGAATTTATAAAAATTATAAAACTGTTATTTATAAAAATGGATATTTTGAGCATATACTATATTTTATATTGCATTTATAAAAATAAAACTAATATTCATAAAAATGGTAATAATATTTGTCATATACTATATTTTATATTACATTTAAAAAAAATAAAACTAATATTTAATTTATAAAAATGGGAAATATTTTGAGAATATAATATATTGTATTTAATTTACTATTTAATTTATAAAATAAAAATAAATCGCTATTTAAAAAAATGCATGTATAATAAATAGTATTTTGAAAATATAATCTAATTGCACAATATTAATATAATTTATTTTATAATATAAATTTTTAACAAAAGAAGATAATTGTATTATATAATATTGTAAAAAAAAATAATGAAAAATGTTGGATTAAAAACTTTCATGACTCAAGGTAAATATAATAAATGCAATAAATATTTGACAGTTTGCAAAGTAAAAAACCAGCATGATTGACAAAACCCTATACTCAAGAAAGATATTAAAAATTCACAAATTATCATGAAGAAAGAGAAGCATATCTACCTTTTCAGGTTGAAGATTACTTCTTCTTTCTTCAAGAATTCTCCCAGTAGTGGAAAAATTCCGCTCACAGCTTGCACTTAAAGCAGGAATTGCCAATTTTGCTAAAATTGTAAATTCGCTTTGATGAGCCGCCCACCACTCTAACAAATTATCCACCTTAAATGTTTTATCTATTTTTTATGTAATTATAATATTCATCATCGGGTATTGACATATTACCAGAATTACCATCGCCCCATTTGTCATAAAACGATTCAGTTTATTTAACAACAGTCCTAATTTGACTGGTCGATGGTATTTCATTTACTTCCTGAGCCTCTTGTAATTTAATATAATCTTTTATATAGTTTTCCGTCATTTTGCGATCTGTCCCTGACTACATACGTAATTGGTTGAATTTGGGACAGAGAAAAAGAGAAATAAAATGATACTTGTGTAAAACAAATTTTTCAATTAAAAAATGCTTTATATTAAGTAAAATCAATTTTATTTCTCCTTTTCGCTTTGAAAGGTATTACAAACTTTAAGAAGTGATATTCCTTTATTTGATTGTTTTGGTAAAATATATTTTAAATATTTAGATATGAATTATAAAAACATA